CCATGCATCATAATAGGAGCTTGTGTAAATTTGCTAAGCGTCATGACCTGCGTTCCTCATTTGGTGTGCTCACAAATGGACCTACTGCCTTGGGGGATCAGTGCGCATTGTAATATTTGTTTTGAGCTTCTTTGTCTACTGCTTATTTAAAAGTGCCACCCTGGTTTGTTTTATGGGCACTAAATCTGTAAACACTCTGTGTGGTATCCTCATCTGAGAAGCCCCTGTAGTAGTTAAAAGTAAATTAGAATCATGCTTGCCACACAGGGAGCAACAAATGGTGTAACTGGCCAACATAAATTACTCTATCGATAAGTTTTGAAATGTTGAGACATTTTGTGTTATTCACTCCACTTATGGCAGAACAAATCAAAATAACAGTTTTTATTTCATGGCTTGTGTGTGTTAACAGCAGTCCTCATCTATATAAACAATTGGGAGCAGAAACATAATTAGAAGACAGTATGACTACCTTCAGAGCTCGCACACACAAAGCAAAATGTGAATCAAATAGGGTGAACATACTGTAAAAACAAAGCAAAGTATCCTGGAGCCCAGACACTGAAGATTAACATCCTAACTCCAAAAAGACCGCAGAAAAATAATAGAAATCCAACTTTCATCAACGTGTGGAGCAAAAACAAACGAGAAGCTGTTTCAATGATATTTATATTCAATCATGTGCACCACCTCTTCTTAGGCTGAGATGCTGGAAAAATCGTGGTGAAATGTAAACCAGCTGAGGTATGATTCATTTAGAACTGATTTTTCGAGGAAGCACTTCAAAACCAAATGCTTACAAAAAGGGCTAATTGCTTTACATTTCTTTTCTTTTATCCCTGTGCACTATAAAAACAAAATTTGGAGGGTATTAAACACTATGCAAATGAAATTATTCAAATTTTAGTTTGCAAATATAAAATTTAATTCTGGTTAAATTCTAACCACATTAGCTACTTTATTTTTGAAACAAATCCTATGTTTTGATTAGAAATTACTTGAAGATGCTGGTTTAACCAGCTTTAAGTAGTTTAATGACAGTGCCAATGCTAATGTCAAACTTGCTAGCAAGCTGAGATATATAACCTTAAGGCAGTCATTGTCAAAAAACAGCCTATCTCAGTTGTGGTTGAGAAAATGCAAACTACCTAATTAAAAAGATTAAAACGTTATTTTATCCAGTTTTAACTAGTTTAGTGACCGCGCTAATGCTAAATAAACTGGATAGGAAACTGAACTTCTTAACCCTGAGGCAGGTAATGACAGTGAATGACACATCATAGCTGTGGTAGTCAGGGAAAGGTTTACATGCCACCTTGTTAGAATATATTTAAAAAGATCATCACGTTTCAGTTTTCAACTTTGATAATAACTTGGATTATTTTTATTTTACTATTTTAAAAAACAGAATAACAAAATACTTTTAATAATTAGTTAGAATATGACTAATTTATTGGAGTACATGCTTTTTAAAAACCAGCTGGAAACTAATTTGGTGTCCTAGCTTCAAACTTGCATAATTTACATGACATAATGAAGTGCAAACTGTTACACCAGTTTTAATGATTAAATTCTACCAGTTTGTTTTTTCAGTGTAAAGTTAAGCTGATGAGAGAAACTCTGAAAAAACATTTTGGTGTTTTTAGATGAATTATATACACCCACAATCAGGGGATGGGAATGACATGACATGTGTTACAATGGTTACAATGCTGTTCCAGTTACTGACAATGAAATGCTGTTGCTGACAATAATTCATCACACTGAGGATTGAAACTGTCTTCATCTTACTGAGAGATAAGTGCTGCTGATTGGCTGAGGAAGAGTAAAGTAGTTATGGTAACGGGTCAGTTCTAGGCATGCAAATGTGAGGGGGTGGGCAGAAATGTGAAGGGGCATCAGCAGGCATGCACATTATGCTCTGGCATGTTTATTGTTGTCGTTGATTAGTTTAGTTAGCCCATAAAGTGCTTGGGGTAAACTGTGTAGTGCTGTGCAGTTAGCCAGATTGGACTGGTTTCCCCCTAGTAGGGTTTCTTTTAAACATGTTGGGTTGGAAAAAAATAGCGTTTGCGGATTGTTAAAATTTGGGCTGCTTTTCACAACATTTGGAGTTTTTTTTAGGAATGATTCATAGGAAAATTCTACCAAAATATTTGGCATTGTGTGGCAGAAAAGTAAAAACCTACACCTCTGAAAATCTCAAAATGTTGTCTTTTTATTCATATCAAAAGTTCATTTATTTTGAAAAAGAGAATCTGTCGAAGTTGACATCGTCAATCAGTGATGGTCATTGGTTAATCAACTGTAACTGTGAAATGAAATTGGTCAATTGTAAACAACCAAAAGGTTGTGCAGCCTTTACTTTACTTTGATAAGCTTTGACTTGATGTTGAGAGAGACCATCATGCTGAAGAGGGAAAATACAAAAGATATCCAGAAAGCTAAAATGGTGGATTGCCCCTGTCCCAGAGGATAACTCCAAAGCTCGTAGTAATACACAAATCTAAACGCAACTTCGAGATTTTACAGAACTTGGTGCCACCAGCACCAGATCCCAATTGGATCTGGTGCTGGTGGCATCCATTGCCATATTTATTAAAAAAATAAAGTAAAAATCTGGATATATTTATGCTTCCATTGCCTCACTTTTCTTGCTTCAAAATTTGTAAGTGAAATTAATCAATGTTGTGCTATGCATTGTGATCAAAAGAGACTGAATGAATCTGGTGAGGAAACATTATACATTATTTGACTGTTTTCTGACTGGATTGAAACATTACACTAATAATATACCATAACCAATATAAATATAACTCTCCACACTTTCATCCAGCTCAACTTAAGACCTACATTTCATTTCAAGTCACAAATCTACTTTAGGTAGTTAATGTTATTATTGGGTCTATTATTATGCTAATCAAATCAGACAGACAGCTAAGTAGCATTTTCTGTTTATTCATTATTTTTGTTTGCTGTTTGCCGATCTATAGCAAAGAGCATTATATTTAGCCTTTAACATACATTAGCCTGTAATGTTAACTACCTAGCAAAATGATTGCTCAACTGAGAGCTTCTTGTGAAAAAATGACTTTTACCTACACAGAACAGAGTTTTGGTCAGCATGCTGTAATTATAAAATACTGCATGCTTGTTTCCATTATCAACACTTTATTGTGAGTTACTAGACATTCAGGAAAATGGTTGTGGCCATGCTTTTTCTTTTCTTCTTCAGGCTTTAACACCAAAATAATTAAGTGAAATGGTCTAATTTGTCTGTTTGTATATCTCCCTCTCTTTCTCTCTTAATTAAACCTGACAAACATCAGTCAACAGTTGGACAGAGCTTTGAAATCACATTGATTTTATGAGTACAAAACATTTAGGCAAAGTGTTATGCAGTCATGCATCGATGCTGATTGGAAGAAAATGCAAGTGTTTTTCATCAGGTGTTGCTTAAAAATGCCCCCCTCTCCAGCCCAAACATTGGGCCAGAAGTGGCGTAATGTTTTTACCGGCGCTATAATCTTAAACATTGTGGTTATATTCCACCAAACGTCTGTGGCAGCGGCTGCAACCCTCCAGCACTATATGCGGAGCAGCAGAAAACAGTTCAATGTGGAGGCCTTTTCGATTTCAAGTCACAGATTAGTTTAAATTAGGATCACATGAAATGGACTCCCTGAATGGATTTGCACTGATAAAGAAAAACTCACTTGTATCATAACTGTATGGTCTTGGCCATTGCGCTGCAGCTCAGTTTCAGAGTGTTTGCAATCTTCTTATATTAGCCTAGGCCATCTTTACCTACAGCGACTCATTCTTTTTTCAGATCCTCACAGAGTTCTTTGCCCTGAACCTTCAGGGTTTTGTGGACAGCACACAGGGTTCTTCAGACTGTTTGGGTGAAAGAATCGGTCAAAATCACACCTGACCGATGCATGACTGTTTTCTCCATACAAGAGGCATCTAGAACTTGTCCTCGCCAACAAAGTTTTTTGTACACAGTATTAAACACATTTAAGTGAGCATGTTCAATACTTTTTTGCTGTGTCATTTCATTTTACAACAATTTAGGGACTTCTATGGGATTTATTTTCCTTTTGTGGACTGGATTGTTCCCAACATCTGGTGAGAAGTTCATGTCAATTGCACCTTTAGAACTATATTTAATTAGAAATGAATAAAAATGTGCCATTTAATATGTCTTAGAAATGTGTAATGTGGCAGAGCCAGTAATATGCAGGGGTGGCTTATTACACAGTTTAGGAGCCTATAAGCCTGGGAATATCCCATATTCTCCGTTTTGCAGAACAAATCTGACCTGACGTGGTAAGGCAACAAAATCCATTGTACTGTTTGTCTAAAGTGTTAAGCCAGGACACAAACAAATTACAAATCAGAATCAGCATTTTTGGCCAAGTTTGTGTGAACAAACAAGGAATTTGACTTTGGTTTCCAGCTTTCACAGTGTACCAACATTAACTATTAATATATAAACTTTAGAGGAAACAAAAATAATGATAAAGGAGCAGTATGTGCATGTACAGCAAACATTTTTTCTTTTCTTTTTTTTTGGTATATAAACAAAAAAAAAAGAAAGGGTGGTTGTGATAGAGTAAATATGGTTATTTTGATTAACGGGAGAGTGGTTAACTACTCTGGCTGTAAGGTGTTCACTGTGTTCTTCAACGGCCTGGAGGAAGAAACTATCTCTGTGGCGTCTGGTAAACTTAGATGAAAATGTTTTTTTTTTTTTTTATCCAGATCAAACAGAACATCAGATGTAAGGGTAAAAATGTGGAAGGACTGTAATAGTGACTTAAGACAGTCTTGTTCACATTATTTAAAAAAATGGTAAGAAAAACTGATATTTGATTCACTTTCTGTGAAACATGAGTTTCACCAATTGAATTTGTATTTTTGGTATTAAATATTGTATGTTAATGCATCTTTTTTTTCTTTTTTTTTTTGCTGATTTGTTTTTTTGTTTATTTTTGCTCAAGGTTGTGCAGTTGGTAGCACTGTTGACTTGCAGGAAGAAGGTCCTGGGTTCAAATCCTGGCCTGCGGGTCTTTCAGCATGGAGTTTACAGGTTCTCTCCAGGTACTTCAGCTTTCTCCCACGGTCCAATAACATAACTGTTATGTAATTGGTCTCTCTAAATTGCCCTTAGATATTTGAATACGTACACGGTTGTGGTGCCATTTGTTTTAAAATGATTATTGAAAAAAAGTTCTCCTGCACTTTCCAGTGTATAATTTGTGTATTTGCGAACAAATGTTTACACAGACCAAATATAAATATCATCATCATCATTATCATCCTGCAGCATTTGTGGAGCTGTTCTTCTGAACATCACCATCATCTCTACACGTGTTGTGAGGTGGGAGGGGCTTTGTATCGATCCGAAACGGACTGGGAGGCGCGTCGCTGAAAAGCTTTTCCCGATCAGTCGTTCTGTCTGCCCGGTAAGTTAGCGCGGATCTGCCGACAGCGCTACTTTTAAATTCCGTATCTAAGGATTTTCTCTTATTTTTTTTCCCCTGAGTAAAACAAGGGACCGCCAGTGCTGGAAAATGAGAAGGTTAGGAAGAGGAAAAAGGTGAAACTGGTTCATAGTTTTTTTTCAAGTATTGCTACGCCGGTTAGAGGTAAGTAAATATTGTTTATTGTAAGTTCTTGTATGAATCATTTACTGACTCTGATAACATTATGGCAGAATAAAAGTGAGATTTTTCTGTTAATCTTAATATGATACCACTCTGCTGTGATGTTTGATATTTTTATGAAATGTCTTCCTAATCTAAAGGTAATTAATGTGTTCCCCAGGAACTGCAAGAAATGAATGGGATGAAGCTGTGAGGGTTTAATACAAGGCAGCATCATGCACTTTTCTATGCATCCTCGCTATGTGCCGTACCAAGTCATTGTCTCAAGAAAACAGGATTTTCACTTGTCTGGAAATCTTGACTCTTCTCATTAAATCCTGTCGTGGTAGAAAATTCCCCTCTGACAAACATGAACAACAGCTTTGTTCCAAACACATCATGCCACAACACCCCCTCCATTATTGGCTATGCTGGCAAACCAACGACAAGCATCATCATGTTTTTGGCTGGAGTGGGGGGAAACCTGCTGGCTCTCTTCATCCTCGGAGTGCACCAGAAGGAGCACCGCTCCAGGTCCTCAGTCTTCTGCATCCTGGTGACGGGACTGGCCCTCACTGACCTCCTGGGAACCTGCCTCCTCAGCCCACCTGTGTTCATCTGCTACGCCCACGACACGTCCTTGATAAGTCTGGGTGGTGATAGACTGTGCAACCTGTTTGGATTTGCGGTGAGCTTCTTCGGGCTGGCGCCCACTCTCATCCTGTGCGCCATGGCCCTGGAGCGCTGCTTGGCCATCAGCCATCCGTACTTTTACGCGGTGCACATCCGCCGCAGCTTTGCCAAATTCACCCTTTTCTTTATTTACCTATTCTCTTTGGCCTTCTGTCTCTTACCGTATAGCGGGTATGGTAAATTCAGGCAGTACTGCCCAGGGACGTGGTGCTTTGTGGATATGGACGCCACCGGGGATGACCGTGCCAACTTGGTACTGGCCTTCTCTCTGTCCTACTCGTCGCTCATGGCGCTGCTGATCTTCATCGTGTTCGTCTGCAACGGCTCAGTGATTGTTAGCCTGTGCCAAATGCATCGGAACCACATGGTGCGCCGTGGCTCCGTGGTGTCGGTGGCGCGGAAGAAAAGGCTGAGCTTGGCCTGGTTCGGACGCGGAGAAGAGGAGATGGACCACTTGGTGCTGTTGGCGCTTATCACTGTCATCTTCGTGGTGTGCTCCCTGCCTCTAACCGTGAGTATTACACATGATACCCGAGTTTTATCGCTTCTACCCAGGGCCTGATTTAGGAGGATGTGGGCCCTTGGTTAGAGCCAGTTGTGGTGCCCAAACAGAAGAGCAAAGTAGAGAAGAAGGCAACAACCTAACGTTATTTGATCATCTAACACAAGTTTGCTTCAAACTCAAAAGGCACATTTAGACTATGCTATCTGGAACAGTTTTCTTAATGCTACCTATTTCTTGTGTGCATTTCCACACTGAGGTTCAAAACAGGACCATTCATATCAAAAAACATTTAAAAAAATTTAATATTGTGAAAAAGATCAAAGTTCAAACAGTTAAACATTTTACCCATTATTTCATTAATTTTGATAACTATGGCTTACAGATAGTGAAAACTCAAAATTCATTGTCTCAGTTTATTAGAATATTTGCAATAATTAACTATTGGAACCTCATGGTGTCACACCCTAATCAGATAATCAACTCAAAACACCTACAAAGCTTTCTCGAGCCTCTACATGGTCATGGTCTGGGCCAGTGGGCTACACAATCATGGGGGAGACTGCTGACTGGACAGAAGACAGTCATTGACTCCCTCCACAAGGAGGGTAAGCCACAAAATGTTATTGCTAAAGAAGCTGGCTGTTCACAGACTGCTGTATTCAAGCATATTCATAGAAAGTTGAGTGGAAGGAAACAGTGTGGTATGAAAAGGTGCACCAGCAACAGGGATAACTGGAGCCCTGAGGGAACTGTGAAGCTATTTTTTTTAAGAATTTAGGGGAGCTTCACAAAAAGTAGACAGAGGCTGGAGTCAGAACATCAAGATATGCATATTAAATTAACACAATCTGTCAATAGTTTTTATATATTTATTATCATTTATAAGAAGATTGTTAAATTGTTAGTATGGTATGTTACATAACATTGTTCAGTTGGAGGGAATATTATACCCAGCTGTATTTTGGCGTTTTTGTAATGACTGAGTTCAGTTAATGATCCAGCACTCAATAACAGTCCCCCTAACTCATTCGGTCCTTTGGGAAATTAAAAGCCCATTGCTGGCTTAGAGCTTGCTGTTGTCCTCTCTGACTTGATGGGGTCGGAGATAGGTCAGAGGTGGGGATGTGGCATCATTGTTTTAAATATCTGCAAATTGGTTATCCACATGAAAATCCAGCAAATTAAAGCACCAATGTTTGTAAAACATGATTAAATTTATACAGCACAATTCTTGGGGTGCCTTAAAACCTCTGCTGCTGGAGCACGCCTGTCTAATGTTCGGCTCTGGTGCAAACACTGACTCATGATTATCACCACACCAAAACTAGAACGTTTCCAAAAAGGTGACACCATGACACCAAACCAGAAGCCCAACTTGCAGTCTAAGCGAATTCAATAATGTTTGTTAATAAAATAAAAAGAAATTGGGTATATTTCCTGTTGTTTTTGCTGGTGATACCAAAGTAGATGTATGTTACCATCTGTCCTTGTCAACCCTCTCATTCTTAATTCATCATAATTACATTAAAAAGATCAGTGGGCATGGAAGCTGTTTTGGAATGTGTTTGTAGGCCCTGTTTAAACCTCCTTAACGGTTCTGTTATGTTCTTCTGGTTTTGCGTTTAGGTGTGTCTGAGAGTGCAGTGCACATGTGTGAGTTTGTCTTGAGCAGGTGTCTGCTTAGCCACATACTTATTCCTGTTTAAGAGGAGTGTATCTAACCTGAAAACCCTGGAGGACAGGTCTGGCCCTGCCTCTCCCCAAGGGTAAAATGTTGCTTTCTTTTAGTTAGATCTAAGGTCAAATCTATTCCATTAGCCAGGCCTACTAAATAATGGGTTAAAAGAGTGTGATACATGTGGGTTACATAGGATTTGTTAGTTTTATTGTATGATTACCATTTGTAGTGATAAGGTAGTTTACAAAAAGCAGTAAAAGGGTTCATGTTCTCACCCTTTACTCATTTGCAGTCTGTGTCTGTATGCTCTGTGGTAAAATAAAGTCTGAACCTTTGACTCATCTCTGATTCATGACTGTATTTGACCTAAATCACAGCTGAAAAAACCCAGTAAAGAAACGTACAGCAATAAGGTGTTCACATTTGTCTGAATAAGACTCCAGGAAACCTCAACTTTGCTGCCTGCAAACACACTGTATATGCAGGGGTGAACTCTGCTTGCATTCTGCCAATGCAGTTAGGTAGTGAGTTATTGTTTTCATTTTAAAAGAGAATCAAATGTGTCCCGATCAGGATTTTTTATTTTGGTTTGATATTGATTTATATTGTTTAAGAATATATATTTACTACTAAAGTCACTGATACCTCATTAAAGTTAATAACACCAGTGTGCTTTATAGCTCAGTAGCTTCAAAGTACAGGAAAACAGCAGACTAAATTTCATCAATATCACACTTAACTCTGTCTGCTTGACAATGACAGATATTTTGTCCCAACGGAAGTTTCTGCAGGGCAGCCTTAATATGCTGCTTCAAGGCAGCGTTAATTCCGTGAAGAAAGCAGCTACAATGCTGTGAAAAAGTATGTGCAACCTTACAGAATTATTTCTGTTTGTATTTTGTCATCGCATTTAAATGTTTCAGATCATCAAACGATATTTTAATATCAGACAAAGATAACCTGGGTTAATATAAAAAGCAAGTAAAACACAAAATTAACCACCCCCTAAACATAATTAATGGTCCTGCCAGCTTTGACAACAGTGACTGCTATAAAATGTGTTTAATAACGGGCAGTTTCTTATAACTGGACTAATTTTGGCCCGCTCTTCTTTGCACAATGGTTTTGATTCAGCCATACTGGTGGGTTTTCACGCATGAATGGCCTGTTTAAGGTGATGTGAAAGGATCTCAATCAGATTTAAGTAGACTTTGACATATCCGATGCAAAACCTTTATTTTTTTTAACCCATTCAGAGGCTGGTGTGCTTTGGATCATTGTCCAGCTGTACAACCTAAGTGCTTTTTTGAGCATAATGTCATGAACTGATGTTCAAACATTCTCCTTCAGGTTTTTTGATAGAGAGCAGATTTCATGGTGCCATTTTTTTTTTTTTTTTGATTAACAGTGGTTTTTGTCTTTGAAATCTCCTATTCATTTTGTTTAATCTCTTTTTTTATTGTTGAATCATGATCTTTACTGATTGACGTGGTGCCTGCAGTGCTTTAGATGTTGTTCTGGGTTCTTTTGTGGCCTCCAACATAAAA